AGAAATATTGAAACAAAAAATAATTAGTTTTTTTTTTTGTTTTTGTCTCCCAAAAATTTTGGAATAAATAAGAGACAAATTTTAAGATTTTATTTTTATATTTTTTTCTTGAAATTAACACCTAGAGAGACTTTTAGTTTTATAAAAGTGCTTATAAGTAATTGACATTTTGAATGCCCCAACTTATAGAAACTTCTAAATGTGTTAATTGAATACAAGTGACTTTTATTTAATTTAAAATTATAAAAATTTCGACTGAACACACCAATTTTTTAGAGAGTTTCAAAAAATCTACATTAAATACCTCAAAATTTATAAAATCCCAACAAGTCTTTAAAAGTTCAAATTGAATAAACCTCCTTCGAATCACGGAATACTGGAATATAAATTTTTATGTTTCTTCACGAAGCATGACACAATATTCTACCATCTAATTTGCGCTTCTTCGAGAACGCACGGGATATATTCTTCTAAGATAGAATTATACTAAATTCATGTTTGTTGAGGAATAATTCGTGTTTTTTTTTAATATTCATAAAGTTATGCTTATTCAATAGTATTTAAATCTTCTAAAAAATTGATTTTAAACTCATACTTTTACAAAAAGTGATAATACAATATATTTTAATAATACTTGTATATTAAATGATGCTATTCTGGAGCAATAATATAATACTCTCATAAGTATTAATTAGTAGAAGCAAAGATACAGTATTCTTCTATAATATTTAATTTGTATAGAAAGAAAATAGAGTGAGTCAATAAATTTGTGTATATATTTTATTGATAACTTAAATTCTATCTTTATATATAAGAAATATGTTTGCAGTTGTATAATAATCCTAATAATTAGGTCTGTATGGATATATGATCAGTTATTAATTAATATTTAAGTTACGATAGTCGACAATTAATCAACAGTTAACCACCCCCACCCCCCCCACCCCCGAAAACTTAACATTTCCATAGTTAAAATTGGAATTAAATTTATATCGTTTGTTTCAATAGGATTTGTGTTATTTTTTTGTGTATTATAAGAGTGGTTTATCATTTCCTATTCGGAGTAGGATTAGTTGATTATGTCATATAAATAGATGTTTTCATGTTGTATTTTCTTTATCATCGTTTGTAAGATAATTATGAGTTTTCTTCAGGTGAGACCTCATGATTTTGAAGTCTCATAGAGTTCGATTTAGGGTGTGCTTGGGGTTTGTGACGTGTGAGACTGCTTGAACGATATTTTCATATAGTTAAGTATTTATGTCTTTAACAACTCATGATTTTTATGACTTTGGAGTTCTTCACATAAATCCATGTTATTAGTTTCACAGCATCTTTTTTAGCCAGATCGAGAAATTACTTCTAATTCCCAATGTAGCCAAATTTATATTTTAAAATCAAATATAATTTACCAAATTTTCGAGTAATAATTAGAAAAACAAATTCTCAACTAAAACCCCATCATCTTCAGTAGAATGCTTTTCTGCAAGCAATATACTCGATTGTTGAGATAGAGTTACAATACTGTTCATTCAAGTTTCAACTGTAACAATCAATCATTCAGCTCCCACTTAAACAAAGACTAGGTAGAGTTCATTGTATTTTTTTAGCACCTGAATGCTGTGGTTTTCACTTAATTACTTTGTCCTCGATAACCTTCTGTAACTACCGTGGTTTACTCTGCCTCTTTGACGCTATTTATTATTGTGATGGCATATCTCGTGTAAGTACAAGAATACTAAAAGACAACTCATGTAACTTAATTTTGCTTTGAGATTTCACATGTTTCGTGATCTATTCTATGAATTTTCGTCTAAATTAAACTAGTTGTTTGATGAATAGCGTCCAAATTAGTTAAATCCAATTGCAAAATCCTCCATCTCATTTCTCACTCCATGTAATAACAAAAACCATCTCTTGCATAATCACTAGGTAGAAGACACAAAAGTTGAGCGCTGAGGTTAAACCTCATATCCGCGTTTGATTGTCATTAAAATTAAATATTTAGCCATTGTTTGAACCACATTAATATCATAAGAATGCATTTTTGAGTAATGTATTGATGCGAAATGTATGGTCAAAAAATAAGGATTATTTTTGAATTTGTTTATAATATTATTTTATTGAAGAATGTGTGGATGAAATGACATTGTTTAAGAATGTATTTTTTTTTTTTAAAGAATGTGAGTCAAACAGGGCTTGAGATTGTAATTTTTTCAACACTCAACAGTACTTTGTTTACTGGGGCCGAATATTGATTGTGAAAGGAAACCTGAAAAAAATATGGCCCCTGTTTGATCCCATTCTTTGGAAAAAATGAATTCTTCTACAGTATTTTGACATCACTTCAACCACACATTTTTAATAAAATAATATTACACGTAATTTCAAAACTTTTCATTATTTTTTAATCACATATTTCTCATTAATACATTATTCAAAAATTCATTCCCCTTAAAATGGGGCTCAAACAAGGGCATGATGTGAAAAGTCAATTATAAAACTACATTTGCTTGACGTTTTTCAACCATTTAAAATTTTCAATGTATGCAGGCCCACATAATTTGAATTTTTTTCTAGATCTTAATGGGTCTCAAACAGAGGCTAATTGTGTTACGACTGTCTCGATACTCGAACGACGTGCAAATGAAGGTGGGTCCGTTTCTATATTTGTCGTGCAATCCTTGTGACCCATAAAATCTATATCACTTGGTATTTGTTCTTAGTACCATAATCTTGTTTAAATGATGAAGACGAATCAGGCCATCAAAGTTTTACATACTAGCAACCACGCTTTCCACAGCATCTCTAAAGACAGGTCCCACTGAAATGATTAACATCCCACTAACAAACATGCCCTTATCCATAATTTGCATGCTAGTCCCTGCATTTTAACGATTTTTCAATTAATAATGTTAAAAAAAATCAAACGTTACTATAAATTTAATTAATGACGAAAACATAGTCAATAAACAAAATAAAAAAATATAAATTGAAATATTAATGTAGAAAAAACTCGTTGAGATTAAAATAAAATTTAAAAGAAGTCATAAGTTAGTGAGGAAATTCTAAAAAATGAAAGAGTTACGAAATAATTCTTTATCAGCGATGACATCGTAGACAGTATTGCGATCAATAATTGTCGGGAAATGTATGTCGATGATTACTAAAATTATTGTAGTTGATAATTTCGTTTGTATCAACGAAAAACTAGACAATAATTATGTCAGTGAATATTTTTTTCGCTAAAGTTAATATTTACAATTTATTTATTTATTTTTATTTTTTATTTTTGGAAAAGATCCCAAATTATTTCGACCGCCTATGTCATTATGCCATGTCCTTGACAAACCCTTTAAACAAAAGTCAAATGATGTATTCTTAGATAATGGAGAGAGTATTATAACAGGGAGAAAGTTTATTATAAATTTTTAAAAATAATATATAAATCCAAGTCACATGACCAAATATATGTGTGATTTTAGCTTCCAAAATTTAGTTAAATGTATTTTATCTTTAAGGGTAATAAGCATAAAATACTAAAAAAGAAATATTTAAATTCATTTGGTAACAAAGTAAGTGATTCAAGAGCAATATATCATGGTCCACTGTACGCACTTCTTAACTTCCTTTTTTCATGGTCCATTATATATACTTCTTAAATTCCTTTTATGTGTCGTGTGGAGATGTGATTTGTCAAGTTAAGGCAAACAAGGTCGTATGTGATCTATTGGATTAGGAATGTGAAGGCCTCTCATTTGAAAGGGAACAAGGAAATAAAAAAGCTATTTTATCGACCGTATGTCAATTGAAAATATTTCAATTGGCCCCCCAACTTTTGAGCCTTCGACTCTCCTCCATAACTAATGAAAAGTGTGCTAATCTCATCCTTAGCCAACTAAAATTATATTTTGGCTATTAATAACTATGATTTTATTTAAAATAATAACTACGTCTTTATTTTGATTAACACTTTCTTCCCAATCCGCCTAATGCTACCCCCACTATTGCCTCTGCCTATTATTGTCGTCGACGTCGCTCGACAAATACTAAATGTCAATATTAAGCCATTGTTTGATAGGGATCAAAAAATATAGATTTTTAAAAAAAATTAATTAACAAGCAATAAACATAGATAGTGAGCATTGGTTTAAACTATTAACTCAAAAAGATACAGACAACCTATTATAGCCTTTTTTTAGTACAAGAAAATTGAAAAAAAGAAATGATATTAGATTCAATTAAGTGCATCCTTGTGAATTAATTTAAGAGCAATTTTTAAATTACCCATACATCCTGTAGTCTGTGTTTGAGTCAGCTTAGAAATTAATTTTGTTATTATTTTTTCCCCTCATGCTCCATTGACCATAAAGATATATTTGTTTTTATTTTCGTACAAATTAAAAGGTTCAATCAATATATTTGAAAACATAAAATGTTTTTGTATTTTAAAATATATCCTACATTAAATAATTGTTTAAAATTTAAATATGAGTAATTCATATTTATTTGATAACAAATCACATTAAATAGAGATATATTAAAAAGAATAATGCCATTCGTAATCGCTCATTAAGACAGTTGTCTTATGTAACATATACATAACAGATGGTTATGCATTAATGTAAATAACATTATTTTATTAAAAAATTAAAAAATAAGTTATATTTTCAACAACCTATAATTTGGGACAGACATAAAAGAAAATTAAAAGTTGAACCTCGACCTTTTTCATCAGCTAAGGAAGGCCGTAGCATACCTTTTCCGTAAGTCGGGGACCTGAGATGTCACAAATGGAAGGCTCGGGATCTAATTGCCACAGGCTCAAAGGTAGGTGACTCAGCAGGAAAAAAAGTTTTGAGGCCGTGGCCCACAAAGCCAAACCTTCCGCCTGTTGCGCGGCATCGGAATTTTAAAATTTTCCCATTTGACAAATTTACCCCTATCATTGTCATTATTTCTCTTCTTACTCTAATCATACACTCTGTGAGTGGCTGAGCGCTCGCGAGTACTTGAGTATCATCAATTCGACGCAAAAGGGAACGCTTTGTTATCTCTCTCTCTCTAACTTTGTTCTTTCCAATTTCTCGAAATTTCAGCCAACAATTTTCACATTTAATCAGCCGCCATTTGAGGTTGTTCACTCTCTCACTAGCTCTTTATGCTCTCTGTGTGTATATGTAGATTTAATTATGTGTATTTATATCCATTTTTATTGATGGTGATTTTGTCTGTAAATTTGTTACACGCGGCGTTCCTTGGATTTCGGGATACGTTAATTGGAAGTTCTTCTTATTTTTTCTTTTTCTTTTTTGAATTTGAAATTGTTTGAATATATTTGGATTGTATTTGGTAAGTACAGGCTGTATCGTTGAATTTATTTACTTTGAAAATGATAGTTTGATTCGATTCATTAATTAGATATTTGAAATATTAATCAGATAAGTTTGGTTTTACTGTGTCTATTCTTATACTCCAGAAATTATATTCTCTAACGGTCACTTCGTTGCTTATCGCTGGGAGTGAAAGAGTAGCAATTTGTGAGTTTTTATTTTACAATCCTTTTTCATTAATATAATGTGTTTTTTTTAGGGTTTGATAAAGATGATTCTGTTTTACTAGAGTTCGATAATTTCAAGAAAAAACGCAATTTTCTCTTTGTTTCCTCTTCGTCTTCTTCTCTTGAAGATAATCTTGGGATTTAATTTTTCATTGTTTTTTCTGTACGGCTAAATAGTCTATTTTAATATCTGTTTTTCTTTCCTCTTTAATGCTATTTCTGTAGGGTTTTAGAAATGTGATTTTGCTCTGAAATTGGATAAATTTTTAGAGATATTATATTCTGGAAACAATCTTGGGATTTATATTTAATTTAAGATGCAAAGTTCACCGATCCGAAATGGGCAATTTACAGTCATTTTCTTAATCTTTCTTGGTTTGTGTGTTTTATTTTTCGAATGGAAGGATTTATATGTTTTCATTTCTGCTATGCAAGGTTGCGGATCTTGTTATATTAATTGACACGGAGCGAGACGTATGGTCATGCTTAAAAGTTACTTTCTAGAAAAATATGTTTTAAGTTCGTTTGTTGAAATAGGTTACTTGTAAGCACAACCCAAGATGCTCTTGAAAAAGTTTAGGTGGTGTTTTAGTGTATAAAGACAAGATGGATGTGAAGAATTGAGGGCAATATGGTCTTTAAGCCCCAGAAATCATCTTGACCCTAATAACAACTTATAACTCTAATGCTTTTCTAATCATGAGTCAGAAACACATTGATTAATTATACTTTTTCACAAGAGGAGTCTCATGATTCCTGGTAAAGGAAAAGGAGGTCACTCAAATCAATGCTGCACTTGCAGAAAAATTAATTGATTATTTTGGGCTATGCTTTTCAGTTTTTTAGCTTACATATTGTACTGTTACTACTGTAGTAGCAGGGAGTTACAGGTCGTGAACATATCAAGCTGTTTAAGCCTATTTTTATTGAACTTTCCAGTTTGATGGTTTTATGTTTTGCTGGGTGTAAAGATTATAATATCTTCTGCATTTTCTCTGATGCTTCATGGTGCAGATCAGATTCAAGGAAGAAATATTGTATGCTAATGGGTTAGGAGATTGATATTTTACATTGCAGCTTGCAATAACGTCTCCTTGTTCTGAAACCTTGTTAACTGATGAAAATGATGTTTTTTAGGATACTCCTGTATGTTTTTGGTAATGCTTCTCATATGTATATCTTCTGGCCTACAACTGGTGTTTTCTTGATCTATATGGAAGTTGGTGGGAGCTAATTTGTTTTAATGATGTCTAGATTTGCATGTGGAATCATATTTTGGAAATATGTCTTGAAAATATACACATTTTGTCGATGAAATTATGTGTTCGGTAGTTGTTATCTTGTCTGCAACATCATTTGGTTACTTGTTGTCCCCTCTCATTTAGTTTCCTCCTCTTCTAGCAATCTATGTAAATGTTCCTATATTTCTTCTATGTAGATCTGTTGGCAATTCTCATGATAAATATTAGTCGTTGGAGCTGAAGGCATAAAGATGAAGAAGCTCTTTTCGTTTAGATCAAATGCATCTAATGGCAAAAACAATAATCAAGTCTCACCACCATCAACAGATAAGCAAGTTTACTGGGAGAGACCAAGAGAAAGTATTAACAATCCCAGAAAAGAAAAACATGGCTCAGAAAATCAGGTTTTTGGTACTGCTCCTTGTCTTAGAAGAAGCCTTTCATATTCATCTGGAGCCCTACACTATGGGAATTTTGCCGATCCAAGTGGCTCACCTCGTAGTACCAGTAATTCGCACAAGCAATCTGGTCAACATTCCACCCGGTAAGCAATTTGTAATGCTGTTATCATGGCTTTAAGTGGTATTTGTTTTCCAAGCCTTGGCAGTGTAAACTTGTTTCTTCTTGGCATTGATTGTTGCAATTTTTATTTGATTCAGTTGTCGTACTCCAACTCCTGAGAGACAATCCTGGAAAAAAAAATTTGAAGTGGGCAAGGTACGAAATGAGCAGAGAGTGGGAAAATCAGGTAGTGTTGCTTCGCGAGAACATTCTGATATATCTGAGGCCTCTTCATATGGCTCCAGTAATGTATCAAATAAAGTTTTGGATCGTTACATTGATGGAGAACAACAGATGGATACGAGTGCTTCAATGACCCATTTTTCCACAAGAAATCACATTGACAATGGCAACTCTGGGAGAATGCGGCCACCAAGAGTTCAATGTACTGCACCTATTTCACCAAGTGATGGCAGGAAACAGAAACCAAAGTCTCAATCCTTCAGAGAAGCAAAAGTATCTCGGCTTCAGTTGTCATCTGGAGATTGGGAGGAGAATGGCTTTTGCCGAGAGTCCCCTAGAAAACTTGCAAAGAATGTAGTTGAGAGACTTACCCAATCTCGACTTTTGTCTAATATTAGGTCAAAAGAATATGACTCGGAGACCCCAATCACTATAGAAGATATCTATAGCAGAACCTTCAATGAAAGTCCCAGTGCGTATTCAGATGAAGTTTCTACAAAAAACTGCACGCTAGACGGGCATCCTGAGACTACTGGTGGATATCATCATGAAGAAACTTTAGGACTCTCAGAGAGAGAGACTTCTTTTGGTGGTAAAGATGGGTCTGCACTAAATGTCGAGGCTATAGATGATACAGATATTGAACTTTTTAGAAAATTCAAGGAAGCTGAAGACCGTGCTGCATACCTATCAGAAGAACTTGAGCAGGAAAACTTTTTTCAGGTCAGAGGGTGCAATGTGCCAGTGTTGATTCAGACAATTAGAAGCCTAACAGAGGAAAAGGTAAAAATGGCCTTTGAGGTTTCAGCTGTCCTACAGGACCGGATTGCTGAAAAGGCCTTATTTAGGGAAGAGCTCAAACTAGCAAGTGAAGAGGCAAGCACACAGACCCGGAGATTGGAGAAGGAAAAGCATGAGTTGCAGTTGGCACTTGAAAAGGAATTGGACAGGAGATCAATTGAGTGGTCCCACAAACTTGAAAAATATCAGTCTGAAGAACACAGACTTCGAGAGAGGGTTAGGGAGCTCGCAGAGCAAAACGTTTCCCTTCAAATGGAAGTATCTTCCTTCAGTGAAAGGGAAATGGACACTAGAACCAGAATTACTAATTCAGAGAAACAGCTTGAGAGTATAACAACTCAAGTCAATGAAGCTAGAGAAGAAAAGCAATATTTACAGAAAAATCTTATTGAACTGCAAGACAAATTTAGAGCAGCAGAAGAAGATCGAGATTGCTTTCGAAGCAACTATGAGGCGAAAACTGTTGAGTGCAAGGATATGCATAGATCCATCAGTAGATTGCAAAGGACCTGTAGAGATCAAGAGAAAACAATTGATGGATTGCGAGGGCTTTGTGAAGATCTTAGAAAGAAAGTTTCTTTAGAGAACTGTGATTTTGAGTTTGCAAAGCTGCAAGTGGAACATATGAGATTGACTGGAGTGGAGCATGCCCTGAGAAAAGAGGTGGAATCTTACAGGCTTGAAGTCGATTCACTTAGGCGTGAGAACATAGATCTATTGAATCGTCTGAAAAATGGTGGGAAAGATGGTGCAACTTTAACTTTTAAGTTAGATCGAGAACTACAGAATCGTATTAGCTGCTTGCTAAATCAAGTGCTTCCATCTTTTAAGGAGAGCAGCCAACTTTCTAGGAAGTTACTTGAATATATAAAAGCCAATACAGGACGCACACTGAAAAGTGGACATGGTTCTGAGACAGGTTTAGATTGCCAATTTATTCTTGAATGTGAAGTGAAGCTTCAAGGTTTTGAGCGGGCCAATGAAAACTTGACGAGGAGTGTGCAGACTATCTCCAGTGTGCTGTATGCAAAATCCACGAAGTTGCATGACACTCTTGGCTCAGTAACCATGGAAACTCAATCATCCACTCTAGATGATGAGTCATATAAACTAGATGATCGGAAATCAGAGGTTGATCGATTTCTTTGTTTTTAATTTTTTCCCATGCTTAAATTTAGCCTTTGTTTGTCTACCATTCTTCAAAAACTCTTTTTTCTAAAACTCATTTTCAACCGAACATTCTCGTAATAAAATATTTTTGCATGAAAAAAAAAAAAAAAAAAAAAAAAAAAAAAAAAAAAAAAACTCTTTATAATTGGAACAAAATAGGGGCTTAATTTTCACTCTAGTTTGTCTTGTTTTCAATACCAGTTTGTAAGTATCTTTATATCTTGCTTAGGAGATAATCCGATCCGAGTTAAAAGCAGAGACCTTGTTGACAAGTTTGTTGCGTGAGAAGCTTTATTCCAAAGAGCTCGACATGGAGCAACTTCAAGCTGAGCTGGCTGCTGCAGTCAGAGGTAATGACATACTCAAATGCGAAGTGCAAAATGCATTGGATAATTTTTCTTGTGTAAACCACAAGATGAAAGATCTTGAAATTCAGGTAAGTTCAAAGTACTATTATTCTTCTGCAACTGGCAACACTATATGTTCTCATCTATGAGCTTATATTACTTTTTGCAGTGCTTTTATTGTTTCATCTGTTATCTGATTGCATTTTGATCCCTTTTTAAGGTCTTCATGTGCAAATATTAATCTGTCAGAATTATTTTAAACATGTACGTCAGAAAATGGCAGAGATGGATTAAATGGAGGACACAAGGCATAGCGGGAGCAGAATTTGTAAACTTCACGTGCTTAAATCTTTAAACACCAGTATGAAAAAAATTATCTAAATCCCCTAAAAGTGAAGGTAAAAGTTACATTTTGACGACACAACAGAGGTTAAAAAACATTTCAAGGCCCAAAAATATTGGATCTACATAGCATTGGGGGACCATCATAAGGCCCAAAAGGAATGGGTCTACATAGCTTTTGAGGAACATCACAAGGGACAAGGCCCAAATATATTTTATTCCAATTTGGTTAACTACCCCAATTTCTGGTTAACAAAGTTGAAATGAGATGACCCCACTTTTCCATGCATAAATGGCCTTCTGAGCAAAATTTGAGGCGAAGTTGCAAGTCGCTTACTTAAGATATACCATGGTCGCTGAAATAATTGAATATTTGATAAATATTTAGTATTTTCATTTCTGTCCAAACTCTTGATAATTTTTGGAGTGAACACTGTTCTCATTGACTGTGCAGAGTCTCAGCATTATTTCTAATTAGCAAGATGCAAACTTGTTTTACAAGTTAAATAATAGAATCTTGATATTGTGTTCTCTGAGAGAGTAAAAGCAGCACTTTAGAGAGAATGTCAAGAGAGTTCGTAACAATTATACCCACTTGAATTTTTTATTTTTTTTGCATTATTCTGTGATTAAGCAAAAATTTGATGTGATCCCTTTTGCTTTTCAAATTTCGGAAACATTGTCCTCGGTTATCTGCTATTGTTTCCATGTTAATTTTTCTTCTACTTTGCAGATGATGAAGAAGGATGATATTATTAATCAGCTCCAAACTGATTTGCAAGAATGTAAGAAAGAACTGACAATTGCAGGGGGAATACTACCAAAAGTATCCGAAGAGAGGGATTTAATGTGGGAGGAGATTAAGCAATATAGTGAGAAGAACATGTTACTGAATTCTGAGATCAATATGTTGAAAAAGAAGATAGAAACCCTCGATGAAGATATACTCATGAAAGAAGGCCAAATCACTATTTTGAAAGATACCATAGGCAAACCTTTTGATCTTCTTGCCAGTCCGGATTCTACTCGAGACTTTCTACTGGCGTGATCAATGATTCATATTGAATTGAAGGAATTCAAGTTGAATGACGATTCACGTAATTTAGAGGAATTTGGTATGCAGTAATGTACAATATAATGGACAAAATTTTAGCTTCTTTTATGAATAGGTCATAACATTTTATATCTATAGGTTTCTTTCTTTGGGTTGGTTTTGTTTTCCTTCGAAAGTTGAAGCTTGTCTCATAGCAACTGTGAAATAAAACCGTATTGGATTGTTTGTCAACTTTACAGTAATTGTGATTCCATGGGATTTGGCATTTTCACTTTTCCTTATATTTTTCAACTGTAGGCAAAAGGCCTGAAACTTTTTTGCCTAGCATTTAACTATGAAAACATTCTAAATGCATCTACTGTCAGCATTTAACCATGGTTTCGAGGCGTCTTTCATTCTTTTTTTTTTTTTTTTGCTGGTATTCGTTCTTCATCCGGAATGTTGTAGAAAATTTGTCTACGTTTTATTCCACAAACTTGTTTCACGAAATGTAGGTAGTATCTCCAAATTTATGTTTATTTATGCAATTCTTACTTCCTCTAGTTGTATCTACGAAGGTATTGGTGCATCTGTTTCCCTTTCTTTGTAAATTAGTCTGTGAGGGGAAAAATGACAACATTTTAAAATTTTATGTTTGATGTTGTGAGAACAACTTCTGTATTTTTCTCTTTCTAATTCTTTTTCTTAATTTAAATTTTACTGGTATTCATTCAAAAAGCACATCTCAAGTCTCTCTCTCCATAATACTAAGAGATTTGTTCCAGGTATCTAAATAACTTATTATTACTAATCGTTGTCATGTGCGTTGCATGAATTTTGTATTTATCTTATTTTTATTAGCGTATGAATTTTAATTTTTTAGAATATTTTTGAAACTATATCTATAAATGTTTCCATGATATAAAAAAATAATTGCAAATTATTACTAGTTTTTACAATTGTTTAATAGTATTTTGTCACATCTAGAAAAAATATGCTTGAATAAGACATATACGAGGTTATACAAATTATTTTGCTTGTATTATTGACATTCAATGTTTGACAGTGTTGATATGATTGGGTTGAACCTGAAGATTATGTTTCTAAATTTTGTGTAAGTCAAATAAGTTGGAAAATACTTGCATTGGATAATTGAAGATTGAGCACAAAGTTTGTTACATAATACAGTAAATTAGTTTATAGAGAAGTTGTAGTAGCCGAGAAAAAAATAAAATGGAATCATGCTATTATTTTGTGATGATCTAGAATCACGAGCCTAACCCATTTTAGAAACGACCTATGGAAACTTAACCCATGTAAGATTACGAAAGCCCAAGTCATAAGTTAATTAAAAATCCAGCAATTTAAGATATTAAATTTAAGTAAAATTGATTACAAAGATTTAATGAATAACTGGGTTGCCCCGATGGTCATCTATATGGTTTTTCATATAGGTAATCTAGGTTCGAATCACCATGTAGATGTTTTATATAAAACTTTCATATGAATTATTTTTATGATTTAGAGACTCTGCAAATTCTTAGTTAAAGACTAAATTTAATAATAATACAACTCGCCCACTTAATTTTTCATTAAAATGAAAGGTTATAGAAGTGGAAGGTCACTTTTTCACTACACTCCTCTTCAAATCCGAATTTCATTTCATTTTCTCTAAAAAAAAAAAATATTTCATATCAAGTTAAGCTTAAGGAATAACAAGGGTGAGAAGAAGGAAGACTTTCTATACATTTTGTTCTTTTATCCAAGAAAAATCAACGTAGGTAGAAGTGCAAGTGTTCATTCGTTTTCAAATCTGATTTTTCGATAAATGTCTGAATGAAATGGTACCTTCAGGTACGGTGCTTCGGCACTACAAGAGTTTGAATGATCATTCTCCGGCTCTACGTGTTATGATAATACTATAGTAATTGGATTTTGTCGGAAATCCATCTACGTGCGACGATATGAATTTATAGTTCGGAATTTCTAATTTGATAACGAATTGCACCGATGATATCTATTGAGTTTCAAACTCATGGATTAATTTCCTTCCTACAGGTTGAATATATTTTCTAGGAAGACTTTCTATACATTTTGTTCTTTTATCCAAGAAAAATCAACGTAGGTAGAAGTGCAAGTGTTCATTCGTTTTCAAATTTGATTTTTCGATAAATGTCTGAATAAAATGGTACCTTCAGGTACGGTGCTTCGGCACTACAAGAGTTTGAATGATCATTTTCCGGCTCTACGTGTTATGATAATACTATAGTAATTGGATTTTGTCGGAAATCCATCTACGTGCGAAGATATGAATTTATAGTTCGGAATTTTTAATTTGATAACGAATTGCACCGATGATATCTATTGAGTTTCAAACTCATGGATTAATTCCCTTCCTACAGGTTGAATGTATTTTCTTTGGGGGGTAGATGATGGTAAAGGATGATGCTACATGTCATGGAGAAGCCGGCGATTTACATCTTTAGTTGATTTTGAGATGTTTACATGTTCTTTAAATTTGATTCCTATGAATATTGTGTGGATCTATTTTATGAACACTCGTTATGAATAAATTATATTTGAAAGTAGATATGCGTCATAGGAATAAATTTACAAATCATCGTATATAAAAAAGTTAGCGACTTAAAGTTTTGATATCTCTTCAGAAATTTCAATTTCTGCCTCATCGTTAAAAAAAATTATAACTCTTTTGTTACTTGGTATTTTTATACGAAACTAATTAGATTGGATAGCCTAATAAGTGAGATACTAAATAAAATTGGAATCATGTCAATCCAATATCGGTAAAAGGTTATATGTCACATAAAGTAAACTGTGCTGGGTGCTGTCTCTGTTTTTCAGCTTCTACCCTTATTTTCAAAAATTCATAACTCACTCGTTATTTCGAATTTTTGGATGAAACCAATTGGATTTGATAGTCTCATGGATTAGCTACTGAATAAATTTGAAATCATGTGGTTTTGACGTCGATGAAATTTTATATGTCATTTTAAGTGAACTGCACCGGTTTACCTTTCAACTGGGTCGCTGCTGAATTTTGAAAAATATTTTAATATCCCATATGATGTCGACGGAAGCTAGTTTTTGACTATGTCATATTATAAGGAGTTTATTACGTTACATTAAAATTTGATGAAATTTCAAGCTCGATAGCTATGAAAGCAAATTTATTTTCACAATTACTGCTTGAGAAAAAAAATTGGAACAGCAACATTACTTTTTATATTTTGCCAAAATTTCACGTCAATAGTCGTTACATGCATGGAATCCATTCTAAGAACATTTTTGAAATTGTTTTCTTTTAGAATTGGATTATTGTTTAAATAAAAAAAAAAAGAAAATTCTTTAATTAAATTCTAAAATTAAATCTTTATACCTTCCACTAAAAATATATTGAACTAACTTTACTGCTAAGGTACAATGGTTTGAGTGACGTTTCCGTCCATGCGGGTCGGGGGCGTTACAGCGTGATATCAGAGCACGAATTTAGTCGATTCTGTAGACTTGTGTATTTTATTTATGAGATGCAAAAAAATGAAACATTTAAGGCACTCCATGACATCTTACGTCTATTAGTTGACCTCATTCGACGAACCTAAGGTATGGAATAAAATATTATGTTCCACATTATTTTTTCGAGCATGATTTTTTTTAATCATTTAAACTTGAATCTATGAAAAATGCTTATGATGTTTTGAATGAAATATGCTATGTACATTATATTTTGTTTAAATATACATGAAGAAATGATGATTGGCCATCATATTAGAACCTCAAGAGCATAATGTATAAGTTGATATCACTAATGAAGATAACACATAATTGGACACATATGTGCAGACATGACCAGAACTTATCAGACCGCTAGAAATGCCACAGTTTGTATAGCAGTGTTGAACCGTAGGGCCATCATCTAGTCCTATGAGAACTATGTGACTGACCCGTCTCGTCCACTTGTTGAACATGTACATGACATCTACGAGATATGCATGGCAGCTGTAGATGCGGAACTGGAGATCACGCATATCGAGACTGTGAATAATCTTATACATTCACTTCCACCTTAGTGGGGAAACATGAGAATCATTGTTAGGGATGAGATGCTAGAGAGTAACCATCCAGAGCACCCAAATACTATTGAATTTGGTATATATTGTTAGATCTTTCTAGATAGATGGAGTGAGAGTTTAGAACCCCAACCGGAGATAGTAATTGAGCCCAATAATGAGGTTGAGCCTGAGCTCAAGTCCGAACCTCAGTTTGAATCAGACCCAGAGAAAGATCCCGAATGAGAGCATGAGAATGACTTTGGGTTGGACTTAGAGAATGATCTTGAGCATGAACCTGAGCCACAGGTTGAGATGGACCTAGAGTCAGGGCCTGAGACAGAAGACTCTTCCGAAAATGAGGTTCCACCGAAGAAGATTCACAAGATTCATAGGGATTAGAAATTTAGATTTCTATTTCCTTGTGATATCTTTTCCTTTATGTTTTTGAAAAAAAAAAACCAATTCTGGTTTAAGATCTTGGCAGGCTGAATTAGAATCCAGCTCTACCTACACCACCAACTCCTATTACTCTTCCGACTCATGCCTCGGTAGTTGAGTTATTTCGAAGGCATAAACCTCCTACCTTCGATGGAGCATCTAGTCTACTAGTAGTTGATGAATGACTTCGTAAGCTAGAACAATTTTTTTCGACTCATAGATTGCACTGATGCCCAAAGGGTTCAATGTGCAGAATTTATGTAAACTGGTGATGCAGGTCACTGGTGGAATTTGATGTCCCGAACTAAGACTCCGAAAAAGCAATTGACAATAACTTGAGAACAATTCAAGGAGGAAGTGATGGATAAATATTTTCCTCAATCTCTAAGGGATTTCAAGGAGAACAAACTCCTTCAACTCAAGTAGGGTAATATGTCCCTAACGGATTATGAGCGGAAGTTCGATCAACTCGCAAAGTATGCTCCACATCTGGTTGACCCAAAAATTAAGAAAACTCGAAGGTTCGAGCAAGGATTAAACCCAGACCTAAGTATGATCCTTATATCACATCGCTTCACGTCGTACCGTGAGATGCTGGAACGAGCTCACGCTATCTGGTATCAAAAGGCTAATGCAGAGCAACATCGTCAATTGTACAACCAGCAGGATAAAAGGCAAATTGGAAAGAGAAAGTGGAATGATCAAGACAAAAGAAAGGGCAAATGACAATACAAGAAAGTTAATATCGGATTTAGCGCCAGTAAGGCCATGGTAGCTGCAGTAG